CTGCTGAACAAACGAATGAGTGAATGAACAAATCATGGCCTGCTCCGTGTGTTTTTCTTGGCATGAGAAGCCAAGATGACATAAAAACCCACTTGTTTAATTGGAAATGACCCCTCCATAAGCAGAAGTTACTTGGGGTCCCTTGGACAAATAACCTTAAAACCATGTTTGGTTTGGCTCACTATTGTTCTAAAAAAAATGAAAGTAGCTTGTAACATCTTCAAATTGGGAGATTTAAATGAAACTATGTGAATTTTCTCCTTCTTGTGAAAAAAGCAGAAGCCTGGACAATTCTTATCCCATAGTCCCACATGGCCACCATTGACCAAAACTGAACAGCAGCTGACCCCTTAGGTAGTTGTGCATTCTCCAGCTCACCCCAGTCCTCACCACTCCCTATTGCCTTACACCTAATCTGTTTCACTTATTTACATTACACATGTAGGTTTTTAACAGTGCGTCTCCTACTACAGACACCAGAAGTAAACTTAGAGCCTGATATAAACCTCCTATATTTCCACCAAACTGCCTTCTCCAAAATGCCACATTCGTCCTCACACTTTTAGACACTAAATAATTAGAGAACACATCATCAAAACTCCTCACTCTTTCATTTATCTTTATTTGATAAATACTTATAAGATCCTAAAGTGCAATGCCTTAAAATTTAAAGATGAAATTTAAAAACTAAACATGAAAAAAACAATCATGATCCCTGCCCTCGTTGGGCTTGAGGCCTAGGGGGTAGAGTTTATAATCTAGAGCAGGGGTTAGCACTTTTCTTTAAGAGGATCATCTAGTAAAATTTTTAGGCTTTACACGCCATACCGTTCTGTCACAAACACTCAGTTCTGCCACTGTAGTGCAAAATTAGTGACAGACAATCCATAACTAAATGAGTGTGTTACAATAAAACTTTATTTACAAAAACAGGCAGTGGGCTAGACTTGGCCCAAGGGCTATAGTTTGCTGAGTCCTAATCTACAGCAGTTCAGCTGAATAGAAATATAATGCAATCCACAATTTTATTTTAAATTTTCTAATAGCCATATATATATATATATATATATATATATATATATATA